AGGAATATTGACTCTTGTAGTAAATGCAGTTCATTTTGATTGATCAAAACACAAAAAGGCACTTTCTAGATAACATCTTAGACTGTATACAAAAGATAGACATAGCAACCATGAAATCACCCAATGTTTTTTAAAAAATTGCCATGTTTTTTTAAACCACACGACATGAGTGTGGGACGGTTTTCGTTGTGTAACTGGGTGACACCACACGCTCCCTGGCTAATGACTTGTCAATCAAATGGTAAAGCATTCCTTGCTTTATTGTCCTTCTGGACAATAATGTGGGTAATAATTTACAAAATAAACTTGATGTTGTATTTAATAAGGCTAAAAGCAGTGACTGGGCCAATCAACTCTCTGTACTGAGGTCACAGAGAAAAAGAAGCTGAGGAACATTTTCCCATAAACTTCTGTACAATATGATGACTTTTTGCAACCAGTGGTGTCGCCCCCTGCTGGTACTTAGAAAGAAATTCTATGCTCTAACCATTTAGAAGCTGGTTTACAGTGCAAAGATAAAAACAACAACAACAAACAGATGTCTATTTACAGACAGGACTTGCATTAGTTTCCAAATAACCTATTTCACAGCAGCCATTTTGCTCTGAAATACTAGTTAAAAATAATTAGAACTAATCACAATTAATTAGGCTTCTGTATCTAAATACAACTAAACCGTCACTGTTGTTATTAGGAATATGCCTAGTGTATTAAGTGGTGAGTGGTAACAGTAAACCATGGAGTGGTTAATAAAATCCCTTTATAAAGTGTTGAAATGAGTGTTTTCACCACCACCATCTTGGTGTTTAAATGTACTGTAAGAACATTGGTTGGGGTCAGATTGTGAAATTGCATGCTTATTGGCTAACAACTTATCAGTCACAAGTTGATATCCAGTGAGAATACCACGGGTAATCCTCTTTTAGACATTTCAAATGACTAAAATTTACAAAAACTACGTTATCTTCGGTTTGAACATTCAAAGAAATGCATGTCTAAGGCACTTCTACACTGGCTTCACTTTTCTAACCTGGAATCTATGTCCATTATTATTAATTTGTTGTCTGCAAAACAAAACAACGAGGCCCAAAACGCTCTCCAAAGCTACAGAGCCGGGTGGATCTTACATTACTAGCATGTGATTCGCTGTGCATATAAATATGAGTACAGCGCTGTGTAGAGTAATTTAGTATTATGGCTGTATTCACTAATCTTCCATTGTTTTGAGTT